TTTTTAAAATCAGTAATTATTTTTTACACGTGGAATTTTTTTTTGGCTCATCTGGCTTTCTTTTCAAAATGAGACTGTTTTTATAATTTTGGGAGGTTATGTAGTAACAAAATTTTTTTAAAGATTTTGTCAACGTCCGTATCAATTTTCCAAATGACCATACTAGATAAAAAATTTTTTTTGACTTGTTCTTTTCAAGATACAGTCAAAAAAATCCAGAAATTTAAAATTTGAGGTTATATTTGTGCATAGTGTAACTCTTCTCTATTTGTACGCATCGGCCATGAGGTGCCCCTTTAAAAACCCGTTAATATAGTTATTTCGGGTCTATCCAGCGTCCTTTTCGAGATATGACTGTTTTTCGAATTTTGAGAGGTTATATGGTGACAAAAATTTTTCGAAAATTTTGTCAAGGTAATAAAGTTGTGAGATAAGAAAAAAAATTTTTTAATGATATGTTTCGTGAGATTTAAATCTTTACAGCTTTAAAAATTAGTCCTTTTTCCTTTAGGGTCAACAATAATTTTAGGGCGTATAAAAACGCATGGTACTTTTCAGCATGATTATATTTTCTTACTGTATACAGTATTTGCCCAAACAAACTGCACGAATTATTTCAAACAGACATGTTTTTAGTAATAAATTTTTTGTTCTGAAAAGTATCAAGAATAAATATAAAATTTTCAACTGAATACCTTTATAATTACGTGTCAACACACTACGGTGTTCTATTAAATGAGTCTTGGGCGAAGCCAAGACAAGGGGGCCGCTCGTGCGCGAATAATTTGCTAATTGTTGAAACTCATGATAAAGTATTGCTACAAAATGCTGATTTAAAAAAAATTCCTAATAAGCTTATCCATAACATTATTAATTATAAATAAAAATATGACATGGTTATACTATACTCAGTCGATAAATGACAAATAAGCTTACTAAATGATTGTAAAGTAGATCACTCTAGTATTACTGTTTACTATGTTAAAGAAAAAATTTGATTTTTTTAAAATCAAAATATTAGGGTTACATTAGTTAAGTTTAACCTGAAAGCAGCGTTTTCTCAGTGTAAAGCGTGCTTGTTACTCATACAACGCTGTTCTAGGGGTCGTGGATTCGATTCCTGCTGAATGCAGATTTTTTTCAAAAACTGTTTTCACCGGAAAAATTTTCTATGCAACCCTGGCTGTTTCCGTGGGACTTTCCGAGTAATTCTAGAATTTTGTCCTTGCCCCTTAGGTCTTCGGGCCTAGATAAATGCGAAACAGAGTTGGCCTATAGGCAGGGATTAGCATATCCGATGCTAGGTGCCAGACAGGGATTTCCAGCCTTACGAGTGAGGAGTAGTCCCTGGAAGATGGGGCTTCTTTAGGAATTATAATTAGCCTGGTTCCGATGCTTCGACAGAGAGCTTTGACTTAACCGGCGAGGAGTGAGCATCCTGAAATATGGAGTGCTCTCCGTCAAAGGCTACACAGTGGCGAGTGGACCCGATGCACCATTAGTACAGAGAGTGTCAGCCTAACTGTCAAGGTGTTTCACCGGATATACTCGCACTGTGCGCATGGATTTGGTCTAACATCAGTAAAAGGGTTGGAAATTGGTGCGGCAATACACCCCCACACATAGGTGGTAAGTGGGTGGCCCCGGCGACTAGGCCTAAGAGCTGTCACGGTAACACGGAAAAAAAAAAATTTTAACCTTTTGACTCAACTTAAGATTTGTTTTTAGTTGCAGAAAATATCGCAGTTATTTGCGATTTCACAACTTTTGATATAACAAGCACTTATTGATATATTTTTCTCAAATTACTTCATAAATGTTTGTCTATAATATGAGAAAATATAGTATTTTAAAGTAGAAATTATCATTGCAAATGTTTAAGAAATTTTTTTTTTTTTTTTCACCGGGTTACCACGACAACCTACTGGCCTAGTCGCCAGGGCGACCCACTCACCACCTATGGTGGTAGTGTATT